TTCAAGTATTTTTCTACATCAAATCTAGCAAAAATGGAGAAGATGGTTTGTGATTTATAATAAACACTAGAAAATTTCCAGGCTTTTTTTTAGACAAATTGACACAGATGTTAATCTTAAGAGTATTGTAGGCCATGTGGGAAAATTGGAAGTATAGCGTTTCAGAAGTGACTATTTTTTTTTTTTTTTTTTTGATACTGGGGATCTAACTCGGGTCCTTACACTTGCGAAGCAGACAGCTGAACCACTGAGCTAAATCCCTGGCCCAGAAGTGACTATTTTCTACAATTACAGCATAGAAACTATGCAAATGGTCTAGATGCCTAATAGCTTACAGGATAGGATGTAGTGGTGACATTTTATTCTTTTCATGTTGCATTACACCTCAAGGGGGGATGCTGACTCTGAGCTAGGAATGGAGTGAGATGCAGCACAGGACTTGACTGCACCCTGTAGGAGGCCCTACCAAGGGGCCATTGGCCTTCTAACTTCTATATGTGCTCTTCAGTAGGACATCAAAGAATACGTCCTGCATAGGTGTCAGGAAAATGCTCATTAGAAGTTGCTGCCACCCCCCCTCCTTTTTTTAAGAAGGAACAATAGCTAGGTACGATTTTTATCAGCTTTCTCTGTCTGAATGCAGTTTTTCTCCTGTCAGTCCCAGAAGCTTGGGTAGAATGATATTGTTGAAGCCTTCAGGTCACAAACTGTCTTCTTTAACCTCCCATTTCTTCTAAAGCACGCCAATTCCTGCACTCTAATCACATTAGTAATCTGATTTGCTGACAGTCCTGCTCTCCTGGCTCCTTATTTTCCCACATGTCCTGTGTCCCCACTGAAGTGATGGCAATGAATGGGAGAGTGATGTTTAGGATCACTGCTGCATTGAGATATGCTGTTATCCTCAGCAACAAATCCCACATTTCCTGTGTCCTCTGTGTACTCAGGATAAAGGCTAATGTTTACTCTCTGGGCACTGTTGTAAGGTAGGTTTTGTCAAAGCTTAGTCATTTTGCTGTGTTTGGTGCAAGGAAGATCATTGCTAATTTGAGGATTAAAGAGTCTAGCCCTCTCCTTTCAATGAACCTCTCACTGGTCTGTAGTCTCATTGGGAGCTTGGGCACACATGGAAATGAGAGCCCAACACACAGATTTTAATGTTTTTCTAACAACTGTGGAGATTTGAGGGGATGTGTGGTGAATGTAAAATACCTAGTTGACTTGGCAGTCTCTCGTGTAAACTACAGTAAAACAAAGTAAATGAAATTTAAACAAAAAATAAATTTGATCACAAAATGCCACTTGTGTACTTGAGTGGTTGTTTCTCTGGTGTCACATCTGGTTGAGAACACTGTGGACCACTTCTCTGCTACTTTTTCAAGAATTCTCTTAATTTGCGGCACTCCCACCCTAGGGAAAGTAAATAGAAAGTATTTTTTTAAATTACAAATTTATTCTTGAACTGCAGTTATTCTACCCATAAGTTATGTTTGGTTTTGTAAGTAATTTTGTCTTTAAAAGCCAAGCAGTGAGTTAAAAGAGTATATATTATTAGTCTTGTGTTTTTAAACATTATTTTAAAAGGGAAAGTATGGAAAAATCTGTAATATTTTAAAAAGTGCTCCAAGATTTTGCCTTTAGATTCTGGTCTTGAAAAGACCGTGGCTTTGGTTTGGGATTAATTCTCCCTCACTTCTTCCAGAATGTTGTCATTTCTATTCTATTGTTTTGCAGATGTAACACATATTCTTAAGGTTTCAGGGTACTTTTTAGAGTTACTCAGTGTTAGAAAAGGTGGCCAGCTATATGGGTGGATTTAATGTACAATATATTTCCAGGGTGGTTGGGGTTTATTTTTTGAGGTAAGTTTCTTGGTGCTCTATTTCAGACATGATGTTTACATTTGTGATAACAGGCATTCATGCCCTAGCAGCCTGTGCATTTTATATACCTGGCACTTGGGTCTTGCTAGAGGATCTAGAAAGAATGAAAGCAGTCATATGGTCCAGTGGAGGAGGCAGACCTATGAGGTGATAAACTTCAAATCAGTGTGATCCTCACAGTTAAGAGCGGAGAGTTGGTTGAGATTGAGAGAATGTTAGACAGCGTTCTTATTGTACAGAGAAGCAAAAGTCCAGACCACCAGCTCTTGGACCAGTACTGGTCAGCATCACTGGAGCACGCCTGTTTCCTCCCTCAGCCTTGGACTGCTCAGAGCTGTAATGCTCAGCTGTGAGACTCTAAGACATTGGATTACACTTAACAAATTTTAGGCCCCCTCTTTACCAGCCTGCCTCCTGATGGACCTAAAATCACTTGCCTTTATGTTGCCTTTCAACTTGTTAAATTTTTAAAAGTTTCACAGCTCACCCTCCTCCACAAATCCTGTCTTGGAGTAAGTGAGAGGTATCTGCTAACATGTGTTTTGTCTGTCTCCTCTTAGCACTCAGTTACAAGGGCACAGTGTGGGATTCCCTGTTATTGCTCATTTGGAAGGAGAGTGTTCTTTGTTCTTACCCCTCAGATCTGATCTCATTAGAGCAACAGAATGTTTGAGATGGAGCCTTAGTTACTCCAGATGGGCTTTTCTAGTTCTAGCTCACTGGTGGTTTTAGAGTGTAGGACTTGGCATGATTGGGAGGGAGGGAGGGTGCTGGAACTCAGGTTCAGATGCTTTGCTGCGCCTGGAGTGGCTACTGGTAATAGAGAATGCTTCCGAGAACCTTGCAGCTGTCACTTGGGTTATGCTTCGGATTTAGAAACAGCATCTGCAGTGGGTTCCTTCAGAACCAGTTCCCAACCACTTTCACTGGGAAAGTAGAAGTTGTAGCTATCCTTAGGAAGTCCCAAGGCCAAGCAGAGTGTGTAAAGCAGCACCCCCCAGCCTGAGACAACAGCCCCGTTGCTGTTCATCTCTTCCCATTTGATGCCACTGTGTTGCAGGACATCTTTATTGTTTTGAATGGAATTTAGAGTTAATTTGGTTCCCCTTCCCCATTCCTTCAAGATGGCCCATACTCTCTGGAGGTGGTTGTAATCTCATCTGAGGAACTACTGCCTTACGACTTTCTCATGCATTCACATTTTTCTCTTCCACTGAGTTAAATTGTGAATTAAAATGTGCCATTGGATGAAAAAGCAATGTTTTCATTTCAGTCAGGCTCTTTTTGTCTGAAAACTGAGTCTTTGGGATTCCATGTCTTGAGTGACAGTTTTGTTGTACTAGAGAAGTTGATGTGTAAAATTCAGCCTGTGTAAACCAGTGGTTCTCCATTGTGGCTGCACCTTGTAGTCTTGTGAGGAACCTTTAAAAACACCGCTTGCCCACCAGTCATCTTTCTGTGGCTTGAGTTCAATGTGTGTCTCCTTTTCATCAGATGGGAAAGAGGTTGGGATTCTTGCCCTCTTTTCCTGGCAGATCATTGAGATGGCCACATTTTCTCTGGGTAATCAGATTCACCCCTTTCTGCAGGATGCTCCCCCCCAACCCCTTAATTTGAAGTGATTTTTCTCTGCAGCTCTCTGAACCCCTCATTTGGCTCTTATAGACTTGACATCTTGGTTAATGTCATCTTTAAATCTCTAAAATGTTATGTTCCATATTAACTTGAGCACTCTTCAAGGGCAGGTGTCATAGTTGTACCCCTAAGGCACATCCCTAGTAGAAACTCTGCCAGCCCTATGCCAAGGTCCCATTTGAATCCTGGAGTTTGAGCAGAGGATCAGTTAGGTCTCGTTTCTGCTCTCAGAGGGTTAAAGCTGTAATCTAGCTGCAGCAGGGTTTAGTAATTCTGGTGGCTAAAGGTAGAATGTAAGAGAACAGACAAGGGAGCTCCAAGCCCACAATTTTTTGCTCACTTTCCAGACACCTGAACTAGAAATTTCAGACTCTTCCAACTAAAGAAGTCTTAAACTCCTTTTAGTTCTTTTTCCTGTGGAATGTACTATCCACCTATCAGTGACAACATCACTGGGTCCCAAGCCAGAAATCCTACTTGGTCTTCGAGTCTTTAAAGTGTCCCTAGATGGAGGTGAAATCCTGCGCCCTTGTATGTTCTGGTCCAAGCTATGCTCTGACCGTCTTCCTGTCTCATGCAGAGGTCCACAAATATTAAAGGCTAAGCAGTAAATATATTTGGTTTGGGCAGCCATATTGTCTTACAGCTATTCAGCTCTGCCCTTATAATGCAAAAACAGCCCAAAGGCAGTAATTCAGAAAGAAGTGTGTTTGTTCCAATAAAACTTGAAGTGGGCTGGATTTCATATGTACTTTGTCAATCACTTACATGGGCATTGCATGGATAACCTTAACCAGGGTCTGCCATAATTAACTTTTGGGAACATCCCTGTTGTTACTGTGTCCTGCTTAGATATCTGCATGACTCCCTGAGTCCCAAGAGACACTGCTCTTTGAGTGCAGCAGCCAAACCCAGTGATGACTACGAGCCTCATCTTGACATTAGTGAGGTGGAACCAGTGATGCTCATCCGCCTCCTGGCCTTGCACAAGGTGGTTACAGATGACAAGAATCTAGCTGGTTTCTCTGCTACCCTCAGTGTCTGTGTTGTCCATGTAAAGGGCTTTATAAACATCGGATTCCCAGCCAGTGCACACAAAGTTGAAGGGTAGAATTAGGATATGCTGATGAGCCACTGGTATATTGAAATACAATGAAGATAATGCCGGTTAAACTCTTCTCAGTTGACGTATTGTCCCTGTGTATTGTCTAGAAAATACCATCTGTAGCTGTTATTAAACTAAATGCTCTATTCATGGAAAGGTTCATAAGTGTTCTATACCTTTTGTATGTTCTCTAGATGCAACTGCTGATTTGTTAACCTGGAGTTGGTATCATGGCTCCAGATGTGGCACTAGAAGGCCAGGCCTTTGCCTAGAAAATTGGCTGAGTTTCCCTGCATCAATGCTACTCAACCTTGGGTTGAATCTGCTTATACCTTGGATTTTTGAGAAGCAGTAAAGCATCATGGCATGCTCTGCCTTGTTGATCCCTTATGTATTCTGACATCACCTGCTCAAAATTGCCTTGCACTCCAGACTGAGGGAGGTTCCTGAAGCAGAACGAAGGAGTGGCTTACAGTGTTTATTAATGTAGGTGCTGAACAAAAGCTTTGCCTCTGTTCATCCCATTGCAGGCTGGCTCCCTGCAGCCCAGCATACTAATAGTTGTTTTCTTAGCACCACCCGCACTTTCCCATGGCCCATGGGGCCTGAGACAACTTCTCACCCTACCAAGAGCCATCACCTCACCGCGTCCTGCCAGGAGAGGACCAGGCCCAGAAAGCCACAAAAGCTATTCATTCCTTCAGTTCAGTAGTCAGCCGTTCTGCAAAGGACTAGGTGGTAAATAATTTGAGCTTATGGGCCATAGAATCTGTTGCAGCTACTTAGCTCTGCTTCTGTAGAATGATTGTAACCTTATTTCTTACATAAGTGAATTGGCATGGTCATATGTCAGTAAAACTTTATTCAAGCAGGAAGCAGGCTGAATTGGCCCAAGGGTGTTTGTCAGTCCCTTTTAGGATCTTTCCACAGTGGTTTATTTTATCACATTGCAAAAAATAATACTAATACCAGCCAACACTTAATAGCACCTGCTATGTGTCAGGTACTCTTCTAAGCATAGCTCATAGCCAGCCTTGTTGAATCTTCACAACCACCCATGTGGTAGGTGCTGTTCCCCATTTGAAGAGACCAAGGCCCAGGTTAGTGCAGTTTTCCCAGTCATACCTCTGAAAGTGGTGGAGCCAGGGCTGTTACCCAGGGGCTACCCCAAAGTCACTCAAAACCACTGCTCCTCCAGCCCCCCATCTCAGAACTGTGCTCCATGCCTGAGACATTAACTAAGGGTGGATGTAAGCAGCCCTAATAATAAAAAGTTCTCTCCGAGGCTGAGATCCTGTGTTCTTAAATACTGAGGAAGAAGCAAACTTCCATGACTGATTCTTCCCAGAATTCAGAGCCAAGGAAATACTTCTCTTTAGACTGTCTGAAGCGCTCCCTCAGTTGTGTCAGGAAACTCCCAGGTTGCATTCTCCCTCCAGCACAGGCCACCAATTCAGGCAGGGCTTCCTGTTCTACCTCAACACCCCAGTCACTCTTTAAGCTTCATTTTGTATCCATGCTGTGAGAGATGGGTTCTGGTTCTCGCAGACCCAAGCTTTCTATTCTAAGTGCCCTGGAAGTACTTAGGGGGAAAGGTTCCCTGGTAATTCAGATACATTTGGCAAAATGGACAGTGGCTGCTTCATGGAGGGAAAAATCAAAATAAGCACTGCATCCAGCAAGAAACGGCCTGTGCACACAGGGAAGGGAGCTGGCAAGGTATTTTGTTAGCACAATAGGATTGCAAGTAGTTCCCTCTATCCCTGAATTACCTTTATCTGTTTTTACTGTACTGGAGAATCTTATTTAAAACTCCTTGTAGTGAACAGGGCCTCATGAATGGTACCCTATATGTGACTGCCTCCTCTCTCTGGGGATGAGGTCTTTTGGTTCGGCATCTGCTGACTCATGAACTCAGTCCTCTTCCTAGGCACATGCCAGAAATTTGAAGGGATTTCAGGATTCCTCCCAGCCCCTTCCAACCAGGCAGGCTCAGATTTTCCACTTGTGCATTGAGGTCAGCGCCTGCATTTCTGCTGGCGAGCTCCCCACACATCAGTACCCGGCCTCAGCCGGGGGCTTCTCCCACTTGCCCTGGAATTCACTCCCCACACAGGTCTTCCCTCCCCCCAGGCTGAGCATGAGCCCCACCTTACCCAGTTGTGGGGGTGGCTGCTTTGGTGACTCTGGGCAGCCTGGCTGTGCCCTGGCCCTGGGCCACCAGGATGAGAGGGCGGCCCCTGTGTTTGCTCAAGCCTTCCTGGGATAGGGAGGAGACTTCTGGCCAGGCAAGGAACAGCAGGATTACTGTTGCTTGTGAAGAGCTTTGTCCCCTTTCCTTTTTAGTGTATCTAGAAAAGGTGCTCAGCAATCCTGACTGGTAGGGTTTTACAGTGAATATGGCTCTTCTCTGTCCACACTGGTCTTGGGGACTTCGGCATCTTTAAGTACCTGGATTCCAAGCCTACCACCTCCACTTAGCAGTCCCACTTACTAAAGCCTCAGTCTCCATGAACCTCAAAGTGGAAGTTTGGGCAATCGTACCAACGTGGAATGTGGCCATGTGGCAAAAAATGTATATATAGTACATGCATAAAAACCTTTACAACACTGAATTTGTCCCTTGACTGGTCTGTCAGTAAGCCAGGGTGACCAGTCATCCCATCGTTCCCAGGACAGAGGATTCCAGACCAGGCTTTGATAGTAAAACCAGCATTGCCCTGGGTGAACTGGGGCAATTGGTCACCCTATTGTGAACTCGAATGTCAGCATTCTTTAAGCCAGTGGCTTACTTCTCAAAACAGATTCAAAAGCTAAACTAAAAGTGTATAGGAGACCAACAGTGTTGTTTTGTAACCTTATGCTCCCCAAACCAAGCCTAGTCCCCGTCTCTCCAGGTCTAGTAGGCCACAGAATGGTTCAAAACTAGGGGTAGGGTAGGGTGCATGGAAGCTCATCTCCAAGGAGGTACTCCAAGGAGACAGCACTTCTTGTGGGCAGGGTGACCCACTGTCCTGGGAGCGAGCGAATCATTACACCCAGACACCATCCTGGCAGTGAGCGCATGATCCTTCCTCTCTTGGAGGATATGAATACACAGGACAAGAAGCTGCTCTTGGCTGAATAGAGACAGAACTTCCTGTAGCCATAGACCCCCTCACTGAAAGGAAAGCATGTCCTGTCATCCCATCTTGGCTCTGAGCTGGTGAGGCCACGTGTGTTGGCCTGGCTACCTTCTCTGTTTCTGCCTAGCTGTTGCCCCTTACCTTGAGGCTCCAGCCGCAGCAGCCTTATTCTAGATTCTCCAAAGCCAAAGCCCCTTTCCTTCCCCTGTTCTTCCTTTGATCTCAGCCCAGGGGCCATGTCCTTGAGGATTCTTTCCCTGAACTAAATAGGCCACCATTCATACTGGGTGCTGCCGCCCCAGCCAGCCCGGGAGCTCTGTGAGGCAGATACCAAGATGGTGGTGGTGCTGGTCCAAGTCCCTGTGGCCTGAGCCGACCCACTGCTTGCCACAGAGCAGAGCAGTCTGTGCTTAGCAGAGTTGATTTGAATGAATAGAACAGAGAAGCCTAGAGTTTAACCCCTTTCCTCCCAAGCCTTTTCCATAGGCAGCCTGCCTGCCACCATTAGCCATTTCCCATAGCATAACCCAGGCCCTAACCAAGTAAGAGCCACTCTACCTCATTTCTCTCCCATCCTTTGTGAGAAAATACTTTCATTTTATGACTAACTCTGCTCCTCATTTCTCTCATGTTATCTTAATGAATTAACTGGGTCCCCATCATTCCCCTGGCCCCCTGCAGTTTACGAGCTGTACTGCAATATCTGCGATCTTAGTCAACCCCACACAGTTGTTGTGCTGGTTCCTATTACAGTAATTGGCATAAACTTTATTCTTTTACAGAGAGATTTTTTGGCCCGCTGAGACTGCATAACCATCTGCCATAAATTGAGACTAGTACGGCTTATTTTGGTGAATGCAAAATTGGATCCCATTCTTTACTCTGTGGCTTGATTCAACTTCCAGATGGTTAATCCACATGAAGTAATAGGAATGCACCACAGCTCTGCTTAGCTGAAGATGGAGACGTAATATTTATTTGCTGATGTGGAGGCCTCCAATCGCTGCCCAGTCGGAATGTCAGTATATAACACAGCAGCACAAAAATGTCAGCTTGTTCCGTAGGAGCGACGGCTTTCCTCTCAGTTTCCATGGGGAAACCTTGAATGTCTTTTTTTTTTTCTTTTTTGGTCTGCCCTTGACCTAATCTCAAGAGGTTTTGTTCTCTCTTGGGCTGTTTCTTATCAGCTACGTCTGCCCATGTAGCCGGCTTCACATCTGCTTTGACTTTAGTGCCTGTGACATTTTCATTAATACTTCTCCAAGGTTGAGCCTTTTTTCCAAATATCCTACAGCTCACAGAAGCTTTAACTCAGCTGTGCCCAGCTGGAAGCTGCTGGGAAATTGGGCCCCATGATACCCACAGGCTTGGACATCTCCATCCTATTGAGGTAATCCATCCTTTTTAATTTTAACTTCTCAAGCTCACCTGCTATGCTGAGATGTACAGAAGCAGATCTAGTCTGGGGCAGAATTGGGGTCTTATTCCACAATGGCGCTTTCACTTTGGGAAGTCTTGAGTTCCCCACTGTGTGAAATTATATGCCTTCTACCAACCATTCCTGTTCCCTATACTTCTGGACCTCAGCCTGGCCCAGAGAAGACCAAGTCTCTTCCTCTTTGCACTTATCCTGCCCTGTTGACTAACTGCATCAAAACCACCTGGACAGCATGTTGGACCTGCAGGCTCCTGGCTCCGGGGCTTTCAGCTGTACCAGTTCGCCTGGAGCTGTCCTGGTTTTAGCACTAAAAGTCCCACCTCCTGACGAACCCATCAGATCAGGGCAAATTAGGACAGTTAGTCACCCTGCTGGGTCCTATCTACCCCCACCTGGAGAATAGGAATTTTGAGGGCTCAGGCCTGAGGAGCTGTGTTGTGGTTAAGTTTCTGTGGGTGATTCTGATGAACACTTGAACTTGGGGACCATATCAGCAAGCCATAAATGCCTTCAAGGTCCATGACATCTCATGTGTCTGGTTCACAGTGGTCTTAGAGGACATTTGGCATGGAATTAGTACACAATGGCATCATTTACCTACAGGGTTCATTTCTCTCTGCAGGGAACAGTTCTCTAATCTCAGTTCCAAGCTCCGCCTGGCTGGCTTACAGTTGCCACTGAGAAAAGACTGGAAGAAGGAATAGTTGGGTACAAGAAAATATTCATGGTAGGGAAAGCGACCCATGCCTGTTTCCCACATATGTCTCCAAAGTTTTGGGATGGACTTGATTGGAAATTAGATCAAGGAAATTTTAGTAGTATGAGAATTCTATCTAGGCTTTTTTTTTTCTTTTAAAGAATGAAAACCTTGAACATTTCAAGAATGAAACAAATAAGAAAACATCTAAAAATTCTAAAATGGAATGGACTGGAACCATGAACAGTCTGTGGGATTGCTCTTTCTTCCTTAATTTTCACAGGAGCAGGTAGTAAGAACAAAAGGCTGGCCCCTTGTACCTGATTAAGGAAGCCCAACATGCTTTGGTGCTTTCAGATGTTTAAAATCTCCAGCACAACAAGTACACCTGCATGTTCAGATGACTCAAGTGTGAGGTCTCCAGGCTGGGCAGTGAGGGCCAGCAACTGAGAAATAGGCCAATGAACCTCGGTTCCTCAGCCTATGCAGGGCTAACCCAAGGAATGACGTGTCCTATCACCTGAGTTAACCCCCAGCCTTACTCCAAGTAGCCCTATTGCTTTCAGCAGCAGCTTTTAGCCTGTCTGTCCCATTCATGTCTGCACAGTGTAGGTGGAAAGACCCAATTCTTCTCTGTGTTTGGGTAGATATGAAGGATTCTTTGCATGGGTTTTGCCTGCCCATGGAATGCTGCAATTGGTCCCACACACTGCCTGCAATCATCCCTTTGGCAAGAGAGAACAGGAAATAAGCCGAGCCAGGAACTGAAAAAGCCCAGTGGTCACCCACCTGTGTCAAACCCACTGGACTTAGTGGCAGCATTTAAGTGGATGAGTTAACACTCCAGCAGTGGGTTGAGCTGTGAGCCCAGGAAAGCTGGAGATCTGGCTCCACCCATAGCTCCCCAGCTGGGTCAAGTATGCCCCTCAGGCCCAGCATCAGGTGCATCAGCAGATCCTGTTGGCTCTACCTTCAAAATCTGTCCAGATCCAGTATTTCCTTTTCCCTGTAACAACAAATCTAACCCAGCAAGCAACCATCCTCTCCCTGGATTGTTGCTCAGAAGTTTCCTGTCTGGACTCCCCTCCCCTAGGGGACCCACAGGGTTCCTTTTAGATATCAAACAGGTTGCATGCCTCTGCTCGAAGCTCTCACGTGTAACTCAGAGTGGAATGTAGATTCCTTATTGACCCTCTTAGGTCCCCTCTGTCCTCATCCTCTCCCAGTCTTCCCCTCCTTTACTGCAGCCACACTGGCACCTGCTGGCTACTTCTCCAACCCACCATGAGGCAGGTCTCAGCACCAGCTCATCCTGTTGCCTGGAATGATCTACCCAATCCCTCATGGCTCCCTCCCCCAAATCACATCTTCAGGAGCGTCCCTCCCATCTGAATTCTTCCTGGCACTTACCACTCTGTGCGTGTGTGTGTGTGTGTGTGTGTGTGTGTGTGTGTGTGTGTGTGGACTAGAAGTTCCATGAGAATCTCTTGGCAGTAAGCATTTGCAGTGAGTGACTCCACCATTCCTCCCATGTCAGAATAGGCAGCAACTCTCAGTGAACCACACAGTAGTTGCAAAGATCACATAAAACTGAACAGGGCTGTCCAAATGTAATAATGGCCATTAATGTCTCCACCCCAGAGCGGTGATTCTGGAGCATTCTGTGTAATTGGAGCACAATTAAGCATATGGCAGTACTTCCACTGGGTTGTAGATCTGATTCCGAGCTTACTCAACATGGACTCTGGTTTCTTTCTTTTTTCCTGTAAGAACAAATCTGGATCCGCCATCAGCAGGCCCTGTGGTCTGGACCACAAGGGAATACTGGGGAATGAGATTCATGCTAACAGGGCTTAATCCCGAGGCATTGGGCTATATATCCAATGACAATTTTCTGGATTTTGCAGCCAACATAAATAACAGCAAGAGGATTCCCACTGTGTGACGTGAGATGCATCCTGCTGGGATAGGGTAGGAAGCTGCCCTGCCTGAGCTACAAGCAATGGCAGGGCCTCCGAGGGAGTCAGCAGAGCTGCACCTGCCATCCCCTTTCACAGGCAACCAGCAGTACTCACTGCCCATCTTGCTTGCTCTTCAGTGCCTCCAGGCTCTGGGCAGAGCCTGCTCAGCATGAGGAGGACTGATGGCTCCCAGCAAAGGTTAGTATAAAGGCACTTACTTCCCACCCAATTCAGCTATGTGGCAAAAATTTCTTTTGGGTGTGTGCAAATCGTATCTTTCTTACTGGACTTACCTTCAGAGGGACGAAGTCTGCGTTTTAGTGGCCAGCCTGTGGAAACTTGGAAGCCATCAGTGGCACCTCATTTGTATAGATGATACAGTTAAGGAAGGGAGGTGTCTTGTAGAGCAGGATTAGAAATGCTTGTGTATCTTTCCATGAGGGAGTGAATAGATAAGGGCTGTTCATAAAATAGAATATTATACAGCAATAAAAAGGTGTGAGCCAAGGATGGGGGTGAGCTCTTGCCTGGGACAAACAAGGTCCTGAGTTCAGTCACCAGTATTGCCCCCTCCCCCGTCCCCACCAAAAAAGGAGTGAAGTGTGGCTACAGTTACCAGCAAGGATAAACCTTACAAGTTAATTTGGACAGAGAGAAGTTGCAGGTAAGCCACAGAGGATGATAATATCCATGTTCACTAAAGTCATCTACCCAAAGCCATGCTGTTTGTTGTTCTTGGATACATAGAAGATGGCAGACAGCTTGGAAGGATGAGACCACCTTAAATACACAATGGCCCGTGTCCATGGCAGGGAGGAGGGGAGTTGAGGGCAACCTGGAGTGATAATGATGCTGAGCCACTCATAGACAAGTGTCCTTGAGGGGATAAACTGGTTCCAGTGTACCTGCCAATTAAAAATAAACAAGGCTCCTGCTATCTCCCAGCATGCACCATGGCACAGCCTGGCCAAGCGGCCCATGAGCCATAGTTGGCCTCCCCATTGAGTCCTCAAACAATCCCAGCTACTGGAGGCTAAAGCGAGGGGACTGAGAGTTTGAGGTCAGCCTGGGGAACTTGGGAGATCCTGTCTCAAAATAAAGAGCTGGGAGGCCGGGGATTTAGCTCAGTGGTTCTGTCACCTGCCTTGCAAGCGCAAGGACCCAAGTTCAATCCCTGGTACCAAAACAAAAATAAATAAAGAGCTGGGGATGTAGCCTGGTAGATAGAGCACTTGCCTAGCCTGTGTGGGGCCCTGGTTCAATCCTCAGCACTGCAAAAACAAAATGAAACAAAACAAAAAACCTACAGGATGTTTGCATTCATAAAACCCATGTTCAGGCTGAATGTCCCTTATTTAAAGTGTGTGAGACTAGCAGTGTTTCATGTGTTTTCAAATTTTGGAATAATCATACAGACTGTCCTGGCTAAACATCCCTAATCGGAAATTATCAAATCCAAAATGCTCCAAAATCCAGAACTGTGAGTACTGACATGATGCTCAAACACTTTTGGATTTTGGAGCACTTCAGAGTTTGGATCTTCAGATTAGGGATTCTCAGCTAGTGCGAGGAGAGCTTTCTCAGCCAACAGATACAAGCAACCATGCACTAGCTTATTCTCCCTTCTCCTGAGAGCATCTGTGTAGCCCTCAATCTGTGTGGGAAATTGTTGTCTACTTGTTCTGTGTCTGCTTGGTTTTGCTCTTCCCTTGCTCTTGGTAAGGGAGCTTGATTTGGCTACAGCACCCCTTCCTCAAAGGCCAGTTTTCTTCTTTGGTTCTTGTCTTCTCTTTATCTGACCCCACTCGCCTGGAACAGCTTCTCTACCTCACAAGCTCTGCTAGGTGGGATCCAGATGTCAAAGCAAGGTAGTTCCTCCCCTCAGGAGGCTTACAATTCACTCTGCTCCCTTCTTTAGGCAGGTCATTGAGTGGAAGGCAGGGCTGGAGGTGGAGGAAAGGCATCACCAAGGGAGAGCACTGACCAAAGCATGAGCTTTTGTAGAAGCCTCGACAGGCAGCCAGCCAGGGGTGCAGAGAGGGGGAAGAAGGGAGAGGACGTGGAGCACAGGTTTCTGGGAAACCAGGAAGGTGGCACTACGTTACAAAGAAAGGGGCTCTGTCCACCTGCAAGAGCCATCTACCCAGTGCCGTGCTGTTTGTTGTTCCTGGATACTGAGTAAAAGATGGCAGACAGCTTGGAAGGATGAGACCACATTAAATACACAATGGCCCACGTCTGTGGCAGTGAGGAAGGGAAAAGTGAAGGTCTCAAGGATCCACTCATGTGGGTTGGGCAAAAGGAGGGCGCTGGCTAAGAGTCCACCCAGGTTGAGACAATTAGGGGCATAATTTGGAATGAGTCATCTTGGTGGAGGCCAGAGAAGTAGGGTGCTGGGCGGGTGTGGTCCTCTTCATCGTAATTGCTGCCGACTCTAGCCTCCTCTGACAGGGCACTAAGCTAAATTAATCCACAGCTGAATCTCCTTGCAGTGTGGTTAGGAAGAGCAAATCTGCCTGAACCTGACACCAAGTGACCTGGTGAGGACCCTGACCTGGGGGCAGGAAGTAGGGGACGAGACGTGGGGGAGAACAGGCAAGTTGTAGCCCTGTTCCTTTCTGCAGTAATGCCCCAGTTTGGGGCTGGGATGCAGCGGAGTGATAGAATGCTTGCCTAGCATGTGTGAGACCCTGAGCGCCATCCCCAACCCTAGAAATAACTGTCCTAGTGTGGGGCTGGTGATGAGGCACAGTGACAGAGCCCTTGCCTAGCATGTGTCTTGGATTCCATCCCCAGCACTGCAAAAATAATAAAGCCCTAATCTTGGAAACAGCAATAATGTCATAGACCATCAGTTCTAAGAAGTACTCTTAGCTGGGCTGGCATATGCCTGTAGTCCCAGCACTCTGGGTTGGTGGGGGGGGGGGCATGAAGGCAGGAGAATCACAAGTTCAAATCCAATGTGGGCAACTTAGTGACTTAGTGAGATCCTGTCTCAAAAAATTAAAAAGTTTAAAAAGGACTGGAGATGTGGCTCAGTGCAAAGCCCCTGGGTTCAATCCCCAGTATGAGGAGACAGCTTTACCTGGACTCACACTGCAGCCCCATGACTTCCAGATCCCGTGGGTCACATCCTGTTTCTGAGCCTTACGTCGCTCCTCTGTAAGAAGGTGGGGGAGGCAGTAAGAGTCCCCATGTCACAGGTGCTGGAGGACTCTGCATAACATGCAGGCAGTGCTTCATGGAGAGCCTGGGCACAGAACTAGACCCCTGCTGGGCTGAGCGAAGGCCCCGGAGTCTGTTGCCAGGGTTGGGAGTGTCCACTGTCTGACTTTCCATCTCCTTTTAATAGCAGGATGGGGCTGGGGAGTGGCCTCATCATGGAAGCACCATAATGATTTAAGGAGATTAGGTACAAAAAGCTTAGTGTGCATTGGCGTCCTTGCAAAATTAGGTGCTCTGTAAAATGCATTCATTCATTCGAGATGAGGCCTTACTTTGTGGCACACACTAGTCTTGAACTTCCGGGCTCAATGGCTCCTTCCACCTCAGCCTCCTAAGTAGCTGCAGCTCCTGGTACATGCCACCACACCCAGCTCCATCAAAATTTACGTTATTCTGTGAACAGTCTATACTGTTTCATAGATTTTTTTGGGGGGGGTCCTTCCACATGACCTTTGTGTGGGCTGTTTCTCCTGCCAGGAATGTGGCTGGCTCTTTGGTTTTGTGTCCACTCCCCACTGCCCTGTGTTTACTCTGTGCCTGTGGAGTGCTCCAGGGAAGCTCCTCCATCCCTGCCTGTTAATGGCTAGCTCCCCTTTGTCGTTACCTCTCCCTTTAGTCTGTACAAGACAGGGACACGACACCTTCCCTACTTCCACACATGGACTGTAGCTCACAATCAAAGCTCAATGTTGAGTGAATGGTGGATGGGGGCTTGCATCTCCAGAAAACTCCTAAAGAGTGAATTAAAAGCAAAGAATTTGGGCCTGGTGTGGGTGAGGAAGAGAGTTATTGTGGGCAGAGGACAAGGCACATTTGGGGTCAGATGAGGCTGTATTCAGAGCCCAGCTCTGGCCTTACAAATTTGCTGGTGCTGCCCACATACAGAGCCTCAGTTTCTTCATCTGCAGAACGGGGAGAATGAGGTGCCCGCCTGTGAGTTTCTGGGAAGAGTAAAAATACAACTCAATCTGTGCACAGGTTACTTTTGCCACATTACTTGAAAGGGGGGGATCTTTAACCAGCGAGGGACACTCTAGGATCCTCCTGCACCTGGTGCCTGGGGATGTGCTGTAGAGATGAGGCTGAGCCTACTGTGGAGTCATAATTGCTGGGTCAGATTTAATTGTGTGCTGAAGGCAGATGGCTGAAGGCCGGGCAGCTGTGACACCTCACTCGTTCTGTTTGCTCACCTGAAGCTCTGCCCTGGGGACCCAGGGCCCTCTACTCCCAAGGTCCACACAAAGGTCGGGCTGTGGCAGCACGGATATGTCTAGGCAATTCTTGCCTATGGTGGAGGCATCCCAGGCTGTTGTTCCTTCTTGGCCTGCAGTGGGGGAATTGTGAGTCAGGCAAGGGCTCGGGATGGTTGGTGAAAAGAGAAGGCCCTGAGTGCAAGGCAGGTTCAGGAGGGGGAAGGCAAATAGGATCACAAAGAATCTTTGTCTCCAGATGGGAGCTGCAGGACCTGCAGAATGAGGGGTGCGAGGACTTTTGCAAACAGCCCGAGGTGTTGCCACACCAACCACGTGGTGTTTCCTCACACCCGTATCTCCCTCCTTCCTGTCTGCACATGCATGGCTTGTGTGGCTGCAGGCACGTGTGCAGCCTCTTTTCGCGAGATTGCCCATGTTTCTGCATGCTTCTCATAGTTCACATTTTTTTTTTTCCGGTACCGGGGAATAGTTCACATTTTTAATGGTTACTAAGTTGTCTGTGGTGGTGTCTCAGGAGTAACTAACACGCACTTGTGCACACACACACACACACACACACACACTGCACCACACCTTTGCCACCTGCAGCATTCACATGGCTGCTAGCTTTCCACCAAGATAGACAGCACTGGGACAAACCCTTTACGTGGATTGTTTGTTTTTGCTGCTTCTGAATTCTCTCCTGGGTCTTCCTCCCTAATTTTGCCATTTGGGGTTGAGGATGACACTTTCATCAGGGCTGTTCAACACAGGGACAGATTGTCTCACACGGCAGTGAGTCTCTTGGGCCTGAGGGTGTGCAAGACAACTGGGACAGCCATCCACTGAGCTGGCAACTACTTGTTGGGCTCACAGTGTGCCAGTCCTGTGTTAGGTGCTGAAGAAACAGACGACACCACCTTCTCCTTCCTGGAGCTCACACTAGGGGAAGAGATGTGAAGACCTCGCAGGTTGTGCCTTGCTGTGCTGTGACTGGAAGTTCAGGGCTGCTGGCTCCTCTGACTGGAACCGGCTCCAGTGCCTGGGTGATGAGTCCCTGGGTGTCACGTGCTTCGTGGGACTTCTGCTCCATCAGTCTGCAGTTCTTTCATCCCTGGGTGACCTTGTAATTCAGAGGCCCATGTGTGAGGCCTGCCTCAGTCATGGCTGGGGACCAGAGCTTGCGTGAAGCTTCTCTGAATATTTCCCTGCACAACTGACTCCTGTCCAACTGAAACTTTGCACTCTGACCAATATCACTGGCTTCCCCCTCCCACCCTGCCATGGCAACCACCATGCTCTCTGCTTCTGTAAGTTTATTTGTTGAGACAGGGTCTCTCTCTGTATTCTAGGCTGGCCTCAAACTCACTGTGTAGCCCAGGCTGGCTTTGAACTTGTGATCCTCTTGCCTCGGCCTCCCAACTGCTAGGATTATAGGCATGCACCACTGTGCCTTGGAGTTGCCATTTTTAGGTTCCACGTGCAAGTGAGCTCATTTGGTATTTTTCTTTCTGTGTCTGGCTTACTTCACTTAGCAGCATTTCTTCCAGGTTCATCCATACTGCAAATGACAAGATCTTTTATAAGGCTGAATAATATTCCAAACCTGTGTGTATGTAATTGTTGCCAACTAAAAATAAATTTGTCAACCAAAATTCAAGTGTGTGTGTTTGTCAACTAATTTTCCCCATTTGCCCTTATCTGAAGATGCACTAAATAATGAGAAGGGGCTTGCAAGAGGGAAGTTTCCAGGGTCACTTAAATTTCTGAGAATCAGGGCTGGGAATGTGGCTCAGTAGTAGAGCGCTGGGCTAGCATGCACAAGGCCCTGGGATCAATCCCCAGCACCACAAAATAAACTATATATGTGTATAAGAATCCAAGCGCAAAGCAGCTCCCCCAGTCTGTTCTCAGGAGTGTACCTGGACCCCATCCTGTGGGGCTGTGTTGCCTGAGAGAAGTTGGAAACCATAACCACCTTGGGTTGCCATGTGCCCTTCTGCCAGGCTTCATGTCCGTTTCCTCGTCAAGCAAATGGAGGTGATAATCCTTAGGTTCTATTTTTTTTTTTTTTTTGGTTCTGGGAATGGAACTCAGGACCTTGTGCTTTTGAGGCAGGCCGTGGAACCACTGAGCTAAATCCCCAGCCCAATCTTTCGGTTCTAGCTCCCAGCTGGGGTACTTCATGGTCTATGGAAACAGAATCCAGATTTCCTTCTGGGGACCAGATCCCTCTGCCCTGTAATCTCAGACCATGGATTTGGGGTGGGGCTGATCTCATCTCTAGGATGGGCCTTGATACAGACCTGGCTCTGTGACTAGCTGAAGGCTGGGCCCACCAGAGCTAGCAAGTGCCAGTGCTAGGACTTGGCTGGCAGTATTAATGGTGTCCTCTCTGTGGTGAGGCTGCTAAACCGCAGGAGGCAAACCTTGAACCTCTGGGGTAATCCTGTTATCACAGAGGGAGAGCTTGTCTGGAAAGAAGCTAGAATGAAGCCAAGACATGGGGAGACTGATTTCTAAATTGAACACCTGGATTCAGCTATGCCTGAAGCTCGTACCAATTATGTAAATTAAAAATTTCCATTTTTGCCTCAGCCAGTTTGAGCTGCACTTCGGTCACTTTCTTCCTAACTCTGCCTTTGCTTCCCGTTAAATCCCCTGCTGATATAATTGCCGCATAGGAGCTGGAATCATCTTTCCAAAGTACACTTTTGCAATGAAATTTAAGGGTTTTTTTTGGGTTTTCTTTGTTTGGTACTAGGGATTGAACTTGGGACCTTATGCTTGCAAGGCAGGCGGCAGAACCACTGAGCTAAATCCCTGGCCCTTCAAAATACACTTTTGACTTGGTCACTACTGTTTAAATCTTCCTTGGCTCTCTAGTCGTGTAGCCTCGTGTCCACACTCTGCAGCCCTGGACGGATCTGTCAATGGCAGCGCCTTCTCCCTCTCTGTCCGTCAAGGGGACTACATTTTGCTACACATTCTACTGACTACACCTTCATGCCCTTCCTCATGCTGTTCCCTCAGCTTGAATGCCTGTTCCTGTTGAACTTAATCTTCCATGATTATGCCCATTCCTGCCCATCAGCACTGGCTTGGGGTTTGTCAGCAGCATATATTGTAAACACAGGTGCCCAACAACTGAACTGGATCTTCAGGGTGAGGCCCTGGAAGCTCAGGTCTTAATGAGAACCTGGCACCTTCCTCCCCTTCCTGCCCCCAAACGTCTTCTTTGGGACCCACTTGCCAGGCGTAATAAACCTGAAAGGCAGCCAGAGACATGAAGTGGGACAATGTACCTCAGCCCTAGGCTGACACGGGACAGTTGGCTGGCACTCCACGATGACAGGGATGGCGTCATTGTTATCCTCTCAGAAGAGGGTGATTAACTGTCCTGTTTGCCCTGCTCTGAGGAGTTTCCTTGAATGTGAGGCTTTGGTTTCAACCCAGGGCAGCTCTCAGACTGGGTTACCCCACATCTCCTGCATCCTTTCCCCTGCTCGCCTGCCCCAGTCCCACTGGCCAGCAGGAATCACTACATCCAGAGTCCAGCAGAAAGGCTGGAAGAAGCCAGAGAACAGAAGCACAAACCGTTTTTTAAAATTAAGAATTGATGTTTTCCTTCCAGGAGTGATGAGCTCTGCATGTCGCCTTTATCAAATTGCACCTCGACTCCCCTTCTCCCTCCCCACTCCCCCACCCCACTCAAGTGCATGAGGGGCCCAGACTCTGGCTGGTGTTTCCTCAGCTCTGGACGATCCAAACTATACATCTAAATATTCCCTCCATCTGAGTCTCGAGGATAGTTTTTCCCCCTGTATCAAGTTCCTGGATTTATTTTGAGCCAAACGCCTCCTCACCCAAACTCTTCTGCCTCCTTTCAAAACCCAAGGCCACGTCCAACCTCACAGGCCCAAACCGCGCTTACATAACCCACAGTGACACTAAGTGCTTGTGAGGCCAGCAGAGTGGGGCCGGGGCCGTCTGCTCCAGAGCACAGGGGACATTCTGTCCTGCAAAATGATTCTGTTTGGGATGCGTGAGTGCGTGTGTGTGTTTTTCCCCTCCTGAAATTCAAAAACAGCTCCTTTTGCTCAAGCTGTCAAGAACGAGAAGAACAAGAAGAAGAAGAAAAAGGGCTGCAATAATTTCAGCATTGGGCCCAGATCAAGAATTGCAAACACTAAGAGAATATTTTCCAAAGTTAGGAGGCGAATAGGAGTCGCTGAGTTACGGGAAATTGGAAAATGACCTTGTGTACCTTCCAGGGCCCTGTCTCCTGGCTGCTTCCCTGATAATGCTGGGGTTCTTCTCGTTATTGCTCACAGCAGTCTTGTCCTACTATGTGCCAGCTGCCCAGTGGAGCGTCTCAGGCCTCATTTTTCCCCCTTACAAACATATCCATTTATCCCCATTTTCCTGAAGAGGCAAATCAAGTTCAAAGAGGTTGAAGTGACTTGTCCAAGGTCAAATTACTGATTACGGTACAGTGTGATTTGAATCTAGCTGATGTTCACCACTGCCTGCTGTTGGACAGAAGCACCTACTGTGTGCAGATGAATGCCGTTCACACTTTCTTATGGTTTTCTTGCTAAATATCCAGCTTTGGGGTTTCTAAAAAGTCCTCAAAGGTGGCACTTGGTGTTTCAGGTGGGGAGCACCCGCGACCACACTGCTTGCACCAGTGGGCCTGTGGATATTTTTATAACCTCATTCTTTGGCCTCATTCTGGGACTGGGAATCAACCCCTCAAAGACCACATAACTCAGAACCTGCCTCTGAATCAGTCACAAGAGCAAAAGCACCTGGCATTTGGTCGAACACTTACTATGTGGATGGTGGAGATTATCTGACTCAACTCCCAAAGCCTGTCACTGCCCTATACATGCACATGAAATCTGGCAAAACCAGCTTTAAGAGGCAATGAGTTGGTTTAGAGTCACATGGCCAGGAAGCAGTGAAGTTAGCACTGGACCCTGGCTCACCCATTCAGCTGAGGTCCCAAGGGCCCACTCTGTGCGTGTCAGGGGCTCTGGTGACATGGAGGTGACTAAGACACTGCCCTTGTCCCAAGGGAGTCCAGTGGGGCTCACAGGCCAGTGACCTCATACATTGGCATCATGGGCAGGCACAGAGCAGTCAAGGAAGGTTTCTTGGAGGCAGTGATAATTTACACAGAGACTTGGCTCCCGGAGAGGTCTGTGATGGGGGAGGCTACATTTGTTCTGTCCACTCCTATGTCCCCAGCATAGTGCCCAGGACATCATAGGCACCCAAAATGTAGGCACTGGATCACCAAACAAGTGGGAGTTAGTCCAGGTAAGAGAAAGTGGTTGTGGAGACCCCCAAAGATGTCCATATCCTCATCCCTAGGACCTGTGAATAAGGTTCCTTGCATGGCAAGAGAGACTCTACAGGTGGGAGCAGGGTTAAGGGATCTTGAAATGGGAAGATTGTCCTGCATGATCTCACTGGGCCCAGTCTAATCACACAGGACTTTAAAATAAACAGAAAACCTTTCCCGACCCTCTGCAGAGGGAGATGTGATTAGGGAAGAATGTTGGAGAAATGAGGGAATGCTGGCTTTGAAGATGGAAGCAGAAAGGTCTGAGCCAAGAACTGCAGTAGCCTCTAGAATCTGGAAGAAGGAAGAGGACAGAACCTCCCCTGCAGCCTCCAGAAAGGGACACAGCCCTACCACACCTTGAGTTTGGCTCAGTGAAACCCATGTCCAACTGTAACCTCTAGAACTATAAAATGGTAACTCTGTGTTGCTAGCCTTTAGTTTGTGGTTTGTTACAGCACCAGTAAGAAACTAATATTGTGGGAGAGAGTTCCCAGAGGCAATAGCACATGCAAAGGTCCCGAGGTGAGGAAGAACATGGCCCGTGCCACAGACTGCCAGAAGGGGGCGCTCCTACTGCTCTCACCTGGTTTACAAGGCAGATTGCAGTGAGAGAAGCCACTCTGAACCATCGCAGCCGACACGAAGGAGCCTCCACCATCCTGACAGTACCCATGGGCGTGCCTTGGAAAGCCAGCTGGGGAGGACACAAGGGCAGATCAGACCTGGAAGTGCCCTCTCAATCCCGGCCTGCATTTTTCTAGAGAATGAAAGCATGACCAATAAGGAATGCCTGGCTGTCCACGGGAGCACCAAAGTTCTACCCCCGCATGCTCTCCTTATCCTAACACTGTCCCTTCAGATAATCACAACCTGCACCTGGAGCTTTCTGCAGTGTTGCGTGGTCTCCTGGAGGAGCCTCCTCTGAGCCCTGTGGGATCTGCAGGCTGAGGGCAACAGCTCAGACCAGAGATGACCAGAGAATGACACCAGAGTGCCCAGGTTGCCAGGTCACCCAGCATGCCAGACAGAGCTCAGCTGGCACCTGTCTCTTCTGGTGGTCACTGCTGTCCCCCACTCTCATGCAGTTTTACTTTTGATTGTGATCAAATACACATTCCAAGATTATCATTTAGCCATCTTGGAGTGTACAACTCAATGACATGAAGTACACTTACAGCAGGGCGCAAGCGTCTCTTCTAGCTAGGTCTAGATGACATTCTGCACCAGCTGAGCAGCCACTTCCTATTTCCCTGCCTCCCTTCCCCTAGGCCCTGGCAGCCACTTGACTGTGTTCTGTGTCTCTGCAT